CCGGGTAAAATGGAGCCAGCTAATTTTCAACCATAATACATCAGACTTTTGGGTGGCGCGATTTCAACGACATTTTATGAGGCCGCGATGATGCGCCACCATGGCGCAATTATCGGTGCGCGGTGGATGCGCGAGCGTTGATCGCGCACGCCTTAAAAATGCAAAGCCTGAAATCACGTCTTATCACTGCTCACGAAAGTTAAATCACTGCTTCATTCAAAATTAGAAGACCTATTGAGAGTTGGGATTATGAATTTTCAGAGGAGATTGAATGGGAAAAATTCAATTTCATCACCACTTTGTGGGGGGGGGTGCCTGAGACCGCGACGATAAGTATATTTTCCGATTTTGTGATAAGCGGGTGAAAATATGCACTTTTTGTAGTTCAAATCTGGTTGTTTTTTCTAATACTTTTTTGTACAGTTTTAGTGTTCTCAGAAAATAGTACGTTTTAATCAAATTTCAGGGGAGATGATTCCAGCCGCTGTAGTTGTCGTGTGCGGAACCCCGCGGTAAGGGGGGGGGGGGTCACACAGGGGGGCGGTCGGCCCCCCTAGAATTTTCAGGCAAGGGTATAGTGATATTATTGTGATGAACTTGCTAATAATGCTGGCCTCAGAGTGCAGGCATTTGCATCTAAGAAGGTGTAATTCTCGAAAAAATTTCCCTGGGGGTCCCGGACCGCCCTCTAAAAAGAGGTGGATACCACCCCTGAAGGAGAGGAAAAATCTCCTGATAGTTTATGATAAAGATTCCAAAATTGATTGCTTTTAGATTGAAGCTTTTATTAGCATTCGTCACACAGTGGGAGGGGGACACCGCCCTCAAACACCTCTCCCTTCTCCGGCGCTTCGTGGGGGGGGGGTCCCTTTGAGCTTGTATGATTCGCACCCCCTGCCTAGTAATTCAATTATGGATATATCCAGAAGAGTATTTTGAATTGCGCTCGCGATCGTGGATACTTCGATTATCCAATCGATGGTGTGATTGTCCTTCGGCTACGTGGTCCGTGATCGTGGATTTGGTTATTTCGGTACGCGACTGTTTCGTGGCCCTTGTGAAAGATTTGGTGCTCGGTTGGGATCACACCATCGTTGGGATTAATTATCGAAGATCACCGATCGTGAGCCAATCAAGATGCAGGCGATGGATTCAAGGAGACCAATCTGGATCAAGCAAGACGCCCGAACATCAACCGTGACGAAGGGCGGGATACAGCACTCAGTCACGTGTGGACGCTGCGACGTGTGCGTGAGCACGTGTGTGCGATGTGTGTGCGTGAGCGCGTGTGTGCGACGTGTGTGCGTGAGCGCGTGTGTGCGACGTGTGTGCGTGCGTATACGCGTGTCGGTGATACGTGTTCTTGTGTTGCACGTGGGCGTTGTAAACGCGCGCGCGCGCGCGTGTGTGTGTGTGTGTGTGTGTGTGTGTGCGTGCGCGTGCGCGTGCGTGCGTTCGCCCGTTCATGCGTTCTTTCTCATGTGATAGCACAATGTAGAGTGTCGGGGGACCCGTCTATAGCGTTGGTATCAACATGGCAACCTCCATCATCGAAGACCTGTTCCACTAATACAGTGTTATAGTCACACTCACTGTCACTTTGGCTGTTTTAATAATAAAATGATTGTAAATAAACAAACCTCTCAATACAACAATACACAATATATACACAATATAAACAATACACAATACCCTCAGAAAGCATCTCGGAGCATTCGTGAGATCAACAATTTTCCCGCGCAACCACTATCGAGTATCGACATCATGCTTTTAAGGGCTAGTTGAAAACCAGAAGGGCTAGTACAAACCTTACCTTACTAGCCCTTCGGGCTAACTTGCATATTGTCCTTATTTCTACCCCTGTCTGGGCATTTTGACTTAAAGTGATTCTTCTCACCGCATATGTAGCACGTCTTGCCAAAAGCTGGACACTTTTCTTTCTTCATGACGTGAGAGAAATTGCAAAATCTGCACTGTTCTTTCTGCAAAGTTACGTACTGCTTATCCTTGACCTCGGGAAATCTTGCCCTTATTTTGTGCACAGTATCAGGCATGACTGGCTTCAATGCTCTGTCACACAACGAAGCAGACTGTGCAGCCCTGCACACATCAATGCACCTGTCAAGGTCAAGTTCTCTTATCTTTAGCAAGTCTTCTCTCGTTTCATTTTCTCTTATTCCCAGCACGACTCTGTCTCTTATCATAGAGGCCTCGCACGCGCTGCAAAACGTACAGGTTTGTGCCAGAGAGTCTGCCAGAAAGTGATTAAGGTCCTCCCCTTCCTGCTGACAACGCCGGTGAAACAAAAATCTCTCCATGGTCTCATTCACCTCACCTATGGCATATTCTTGAAACTTCCCTGTAATTTCAGTGACAGTTCTCTGTGACTCGGGCGTTGAAAAGCTAAACCCACTGAGCGTTTTCATCGCATCGTCAGCGAGACAGTTCTCAAGCATTGCTACCTGAAACGCACGGTCTTTCGTGTGTAGCCCAGATAACAGGTTGTAGTTGTCCCATCTTTTCTTAAACAGCTTCCAACTGAACTCCCTACCTTGTCTTCTTCCAAAGTCAGGGGCTGTGGTGGCTTTATGCTGCCGAAGTTGTAGCCCTGCCTGTCAGGCTCACTGCCACGTGTCACGCGCGTCTCCATTTGACTTGTGAATCTTTCTCCAGCTTATAACACAGCTCTTCAAAGGCTTGCCTGTATCACACAGCTGTCCACAGATGTCCTATCATGTGCCTGGTTCACTCAGTTTACCGCTGCCACCATGTTAGGTGCACTGCACAGCCACGAAGTCATAGCCAAAACCAGAACCAGTGGAGAACGTTTACACAAGCATTTAATTAGCTACACACGCGTGTGCTCCGTGCCCTGTCCACTGCCCAACTGCCTCGTGAGTCGTGTATACACGTGTACGTTACACCCATCTATTACCACGTGTCGCCACCTAGTAGCTGACTAGGCTATTCCAGACATGTATTACAACACTTAACAACCACCACCACCACCACCAACAACAACAACAACAACAACAACAACAACGGAGATCCCTGTAAACTGGTTGGCGTCTGAACTTTTTCTACTACTTCTAAATATCGGACCTAAAGCAAGCTTATGCGTACGTGGTGCGTCGAATAGGGAAGGTGAACGGGAGGAAGGAGAGGGAGGGGAACGATTAGAAAGCCAGCAGGGAAGAGGGAGAAGAACCTCCCCCCGCCTACAGAGAACCCGCAGGCACACGATTTATATCATATCTACTCATCGAATCCAAATAGAAAATCAATAATATCCGTATCTACATCTGCAATCCATACATCTCGCGTCACCTGACCACAATCGATTAACTAAGTTGATGTCTCGTTCACTAATTAGTCAAAGGATTTTACATACCTTGATTTAATCCATACAAAATCTATCAGTATAATCCAAATAGAAAATCAATGTTAACCCTATCTATATGATCTGGTAGGTGCAATATCCATATATCTGCAATCTGCATATCTTACGTGCAGCACTTGCTCACAATCTATCAACGAACTATAGTGTCATATCACAAGGCTCGACACTAGCGGTGGCCCGGTGGCCCGGGGCCACCAAAACTTGATGTCGGGCCAACAAAATTTCCAAAAGTTAAAATTTGGTGGCCCGTACGGGCCACTAAAATTTCAAAGTGTCTATGTGATGAAAATAATTGTTTCTTACGTGCTAATCTCATTCAAAAGAGAGCGAGCAATTCGCGGAGCGAGGGCACACGTACACACGTGCAGCATTCTACCACGGGCATACACGGGCGCACTACATAATTTATTTACAATTTTTTATTACATTTTTTTTTTTAAATTTAATTAAATTTATTAGTGTTAATTAAATTTAATTAGGGTTAGGGTTAGGGAGTAGGGCGTAGCACACAACCAAATCCACCAGCAGGCTGTATGCATTCAACTTCGGAGATAGCCGAGTTCGTGCGTCACGACCATACTTTGGTTCATGGAAACATGTGCCGACCTATCGAACCGTAACCGGGGTACCCTCCGATAGTACCCTGGCCCGGGGGACATAGACCCTATCAGCCCCACTTTCCATATCTTTCCCGTCCCTAACAATTTCCCTAGTCTCTCCTCTTCTGGTACTCTGCCTATCCTCGTATTTTCCCCAACACCCTTCAATGTTGAAGACGAGTCCTACTGTCTCTAGTAGTACTAGTACTAGTAGTACTTATTAGTTTTCAGTTTCAGGACTAGCCCGACCAGGCTGTGCGACGGATTGTCTATACTATTCTAACCCTAGCAATACCGTTTCTTGGAGCTATTTCAGGACATAATGATAATGTCAATGATAATCTATTATTAACCTATATTGTATAACAATTTGGGGAGCAAAATCACCCACTATCCCTAATATACGTGCTGATCACATTTATAAATTTATATTTTACTTTATAACTTGTTTTACTTTTAGACATTGTTTACTAAATCTAGTAACTAGTTTACTTCAAGGAGCTAGGTTTATGGTTTACTTCACCTCGCCGCCTCGGAATCTCTCGCGCCTCAGCACAGGGCGCCACCTTTGGGCTACTTTGTGAGTAAATGTTTATAGTGCTTGTGTTGTAAAAATCGTGAAGTCCCTCCCTCATTCTTGTCATACACTTATCTGATTGGTATAGACAATATAAGAAATGTGCATATCATCGATTAATAACCGCTTCAACGTATTTGTTACATTAATTGATACGGATAGTGCCGGTAAGGTTTCTCCCCAAGGAGAACTAGTCGACAAACATAAAACATGTGTGATGTCTCCGGAAGGTGGCGATGCCGCGGGTGTAGGGGTAGACTGGTCCACGCTCGACAGTTCCACTTGCGTTACAGTGCGCGTTGTGTGCGCGTTACACTGACCGCCGTGTAACGCGAGTGCAACTATCGAGCGCGGACCAGTCTAGTACAGTGGAGGAAATGTCGTGATTCACGTACGTTTGTGGTTTGAAGGTATGCATCTCTACTGCACTCTGTTATAGTATTAAAAAGTAGAGACACGTGCCCATAGTCATACGCTACTATTCCCAGGCACGTGGACCGTTTCAATATAATAATATGATGGTAACTAAATAATATAAATAATATATTACTACTAAGTAAAGTACTAAGTAGTAAGTATCATAATAATCATATGTTTAATTGTGCAAGCTCTGAAGTCTGTTTACCTCTGTTTGCCCAATCTCAAGATTGGTTTCCCAAACTGCGGATGCGCTGAAATTCCAAGTTTGGGCACAACACTACTACTAGTACTACAGTAACTAGTAGTAGTACTACTACTAAGTAGAACTAGTACTAGTGGTAGTAGTAGTATAGCTCCAAGAAACGGTATTGCTAGGGCTAGAATATCCGATTTTGTATAAGGGGTGAAAATATGCACTTTTTAGTTCAAATCTGGTTGTTTTTCTCATACTTTTTTTGTACAGTTTTAGTGTTCTCAGTAAAATATACGTTTTATCAAAATTTCAGGGGAGATGATTCCAGCGCTGTAGTTGTCGGTGGCGGAACCCCGGGTAAGGGGGGGGGGTCACAGGGGGCGGTCGCCCCCCTAGAATTTTCAGGGCAAGGGTATAGTGATATTATTGTGATGAAGATTGCTTAATAATGCTGCCTCAGAGTGCAGGAAATTGCATCTAAGAGGTGTAATTCTCAACAAAATTTCCCGGGGAGGTCCCAGGACCCCCCTAAAAAAGAGGTGGATACCCCCCTGAAGGAGGAAAAATCTCCTGATATTTTATGATAAAGATATCCAAAATTGATTGCTTTTAGATTGCAACTTTTTAACCATTCCACACAGTGGGAGGGGGACACCCCCTCCAACACCCTCCCCTCTCGGGCGCTTCGTGCCCTTGAGCTTGTATGATTCGCCCCCCTCCCCTAGAATTCAATTATGGATATATCCAGAAGAGTATTTTGATTGGCTCGCGATCGGTGATCTTCGAATTATCCCAATCGATGGTGTGATTGTCCTTCGCTACGTGGTCCGTGATCGTGGATTTGGTTATTTCGGTAGCCGACTGTTTTCGTTGGGCCCTTGTGAAAGATTTGGGTGCTCGGTTGGGATCACACCATCGATTGGGATAATTCGAAGATCAACGATCGTGAGCCAATCAAGATCAGGCGATGGATTAAGGAGACCATCTGGATCAGCAAGACCCCGAACATCAACCGTGACGAGGGGGGATACAGACTCAGTCACGTGTGGACCAAGCTGCTGACCACTACACCATCTGGTGGTCAATAACTGATAATCGTCAGTCAGCTTTGAGAAAGCCTCCTGTCAGGAGGCAAAACGTCAGCTGTACGTTTTCAATCTTCACGGTTGAGTAACAATTAACCCAGTTAGATCTATTGGACTATACAGAGTTGCTAAACTATACATATATACCATTAGAGCTTTTTTTGCATCTTTTTCTGGCTTGCTCTTTCCGCGTTGCATCGGTGGCAAGTCTGACATTAGTAGGTATATACTCCATGCCTGTGCTCCTTCCAAAATACCTTGGAACCAAGTTATCCTCCTTCCTCCGCTCTATTCTGCAAGTAATATAAACAGTAGTTAAACCTCACTGAGATCCAATAATGGTTTACCTATACATTTGACACATAAAGACCATATTAACAATTTTCACATGCCCATATGAAACTAGGTTCACAGAACACGTGAAATTAGAGTGACCATGAAGATGTGTATAACCATAGGTGAAGTCGAGATAATTCGAAAGCCATAATTATGGCAAATGCAATTTTCCCGTAGCTCTCGTAGAAGTTTATTAAAAGCTCGATTTAAACAATATACAAGTATAAATATGATAAAATGATATATAGTAACTTAATTCTAGTAAATGGAAGAAAAGTAAGCTAGTTAGAGATGGAGAAGATGAAAGGGATTGAAGTTGCTGGGATCATATACGGTATGAAAAATGTTGTGACAATGACAGGAGAACATCCGAGGACAAAAAGCAAAATGGATAATTGCTAAAGGGTAGAAAATGTAGGAAGGCAAGTGGATTGAGGAAGAATAGGTAGAAAAAGTAGGATGGTTGAGGGATCAGGTAGATGAACAGCACGGTAACAAAGGGGTGGAACTAGGCTGTATTCGTCATTGTGCAAAGTCATCAAGGAAGGAGTCTTTAAACTAGAAGAAACGACTGATGTGCTTCAGTGCTCACCTGACTAGTTCAGGCATCGCCTCCATGAACTCAACCAGATTATGAAAACCATAATCAGTATATGTAAGAGGCTTGCTCACATATTCCCTGTAGTCTTTGCAAAACTTGTGCTGTTCAATACCCCCTATCTTTGATAGGAGGACAGCACGTACATATTTGCGAATATCGTCTGGTATTTCCATAGTATCTACACGAGATCCACCTCACCACCTCTTTTGAGTTTTTACTACGTGAAATAAAAACCTACACATTGAAATAAAAAAACAATAATTTATAGTGGTACAAAGATAAATGTTATAATTACTTCCATAGCATTGTATGCATTTCAGATGTCCTACTATAATATTGTGATTTGCACACAATTTAAACTCTAATGTCAGGAAATTTTATTTAAAAAAAACTTTGGCACTCTGTTCAAGATAAAAAGCATAAGGCCTTCTTCTTATACTCTTCCCCTGTCATTCCTCCTCCTACGCCCATCTCTCTCCCTGCCTCTCATATACCCCTCTCTCAATGCCTCATATATCACCATCCCTCACAGGGGCGTAGACAGCCTTTCCAAGAGGGGGTATTTCTTCCAAGAGGGGGAATTCCAAACCTACTACAAAGAATACTAATAAAACTTCGTTAAAATTTTCGTTTCATGCTTTTATATACATACTGTATCAGATATGTGCTATTTTGATACAAACCAGGGGGGATTCCGGAATGCCTGGAATCGCCCCTGGCTACGCCCCTGCCTCACCCTGTTCCCGTTCTGCTCAGAAATTCTTTTATGATAGAATAAGAAGACTCTGCAAATAGGTAGCAAACCTGTTTGCAGTTTTAGCTTTCATATCTGTCTTCCCATTCTCTCGCACTCTCTCTGTTCTACCCTCCTCTCACTCACACCTCCCTCATCCCCCCTCTTCTCACAACTTCCATCTTCCTCTTGTAAATTCTCTGTAATCTCCTCTTCTGACAGCTTCCCTGCTCATCCTTACTCTCACACCATCTCTGTCCTCTTACTCATCCTTCCCCTGTCCTCCCCTCCTCAAGCACATGCACGGCCCTCTGCGCCTCTAGCACCTTCCCTGTCCTCCCCTCATCTTGCACCTTCCCCATCCTCCCCTCTTCTAGCACCTTCTCCGCCGTCCCCTCCTTTAGCACCTACTTCGCCCTCCCATCCTCTAGTACCTATCCCATCCCCCTCCTCTAAGGCCTAAAAAAAGACGTTTGTTTCCGCTAACCCGACCGAGTCCATTTTAATTTAAACCGCCGTGTCGAAACTTTTTATTGTGATGGGCAAGAAAAAAAAACTTTTAATTAAAAAAAATATTAGATAAAAAAAATCCCAACGTGATATCGATCGGTGAATGCATTGATTTGACTTTGAAGTCATTATATGGGCTGTTATAAGTATAAAACAAGTATTGTTAGAATACAGAAAATAATAATTTGATAAAAAAGTTTTGCCTGCCTACCCTGTCCAATTTTTTTCAGCTCATTAGCGGAAACAAACATCTTTTTTCTTAGGCATAATACGTTCCCCCTCCTCTAGCACCTAGTCTGTTCTCACCTCCTCTCCCACCTTTGCTATCCTCCCACTCTCTCACACTTTCCCTGTCCTCTCCACTTCTTGCACACTCCCTGTCTTGCTCTTTTCCTATAGCTTTCCTGTTCTGCTCCATTCTCATACCCTCACTGATCTCCCCTCCTCTCACACCTCCCCAGTTCTCCCTTCTGATTGCAATACTCTGTCATCTCCTTTTCCCACAGATTCCCTGTTTGCATTTCCTCTCAGACTATCTGTCCTCCTCTTGCTCGTGTCTTCCCTGTCCTCTCATTTTCTCACACCCTCCATGTATGTCTTTGTCAGGTTACCTTCTCTTTATTGCCAAACCATCCCTGTTCTCCCCTCAACTCACACCTTCCCTGCTCTCCCCTCCACTCACACATTCCCTGTTCTCCCCTCCACTCACACCTTCCCTGTTCTCCCCTCCACTCACACCTTCCCTGTTCTCCCCTCCACTCACACCTTCCCTGTTCTCCCCTCCACTCACACCTTCCATGTTCTCCCCTCCACTCACACCG